GCAGGTCCTCGAAGGCGCACCGCTGCAAACCAGACAAAAAGAAACTTTGGGGCCCCCGGGGTGCCGGCTGGCGGGGCGTTCGGTTGGCTTTTCGTGCCTGGTCTTTAGGATCAGCTGCTCCAGGAAGCGAGATGTCGAAGCCGCCACCCAAACCGGTCAAACCAGGTAAGGGAGGTGCTCGCCGGGTCCCCTGACCGCCTCGGCGCGCGGCGCGTCCTCCGCAGCTTGGCAGAGCAGACCGGGCACGTACCCGGCCCCGAGCCTCGCTCCGGAGATACGACCCGCCGGGATGGGAGTTGTTAGCTTCCTTGCGTTCGCTGAAGGGGAGGGATCGTTTTGGATAGCGAGAGGATTTCGAGGATTTTTAAAAAGTTTATTTTTAAAGAGGAGTCGCCCTCGGTTTTGCAACATTGACATTCTCTGCGACTTTCAAGCGGGCTACGTTCCATTGAAGCTTTCCTGGTAGCCAGGGCCAGTGATCTCCCTTTAAAAAAGAAATGAAATAAATGTCTTGCAATGGTCTCGTAGCCACTTCCTTTTTTTTTTCTTTTCAGTGTGTGTCACTGTCAAGTTAGAGTTCTTGACCGGCCAGAGCGAACGGGAAGTGCGCTGCTTGCTGGGTGGGGTGGGTGAGCAAGTCTCCTTTGGGACTTTTGAAAGGAACAGCGTTTGAAACTGACCTCGAGATCTTGGGAAAAACATTTAGAAAGCTCTGTACAGCGCTCGGGTTCTTGGCGAGAACACTCCAGGCTGCGGCAGAGTAATCTCGGCTCTTACTGTTCGGAAGTGTCACTTTATCGGGCAGTGCAAGTCCTGTGCCTCCGCTCCCACAGGGGATTTGGCCTTCTTAACTGGAGAGTGGGAGATTACTAAATTACTCACAGCCCTTTTCGTGGCCCATAGTCCTGGTTCATTTTTGACTCTATTCTTAGAATATTTTCTGCCATGGGGAGAAAAGAGAGTTTGAAAGGGACTGATGTAAGCTCAATACTGTATAACAAACTTTCCTACATTTATTTGGTAGGTAATTAGGGAAACCGTAGGAAACGGAAAATAAATAGCTTTGACATACTTAGGTTTTTTTCTCCCAGTCTCACCTAACTTTAGTATACCACAGGCTGAAATTTATCCATTTACCTTACATTTCAAAGTAACCTTGGTTGCAAGGCATAGAGTTTCAGTGATTAATTATTTTCTTGATTTTTCTAAACTTTTGTCAAGCACTGCAACTTGCGTTACTCAGTTTTCTTTCTTTGCCTCATACATTGTTAGTTTCAAGTCATTTTTTTTAAAAGCTATGAACATACTCATATATGGAATAGTGATTCACTGAGGACTTACATTTTGGTAGGCTGGGTGTGGAAAAAGTTGCAGGAACTTTGGCTCTGCTGTGAGCAAAGATGGGGCTTGGCTAGAATTGGACTCTGTGCTTCTTTAGATGTGGAATCTGACGAATTTGCATTTTAAGTGAATATGTAGGAGGTAGCAGCCTTCTAAACTCAGATGTAAATCAGGACCTCAAGTATCCAACAAAGCAGAGTTATTTTTTAATAGCTAAATAAAGTGCTGTACTTTATTTTAAAGAATGCCCTGAGAAACTATTCATGAGGTTTTTCATCTCTCTAGACCTTAAGCGATGTCTTTGCTGCAGCTGGAGGGACATCGACAGTGATGTGTATGTGTGTGTGTGCACAAGTGTGTACATGAGTACTTATGCACACACGGATGTGGTTTAGGATCATAGTGTTACCAATTGGGGATAAACTCCCAGGACCATTTTTGTTATCTAACACCACTGCTCTCTGGTCTTCAGCAAATCTGAGTGCAAATGGTTGAAAATGACTGCTGTTTAGAGAGAGCTTGGACTCCTCACTCGTTTATAAATGACATCCAAACTCAAATAAGGTTACCATAGAAATCGGGCCTCTATGGCTTCCTGCAAAGCAAGGTCCGGGAAGAACTGCATAGCTCAATTCATAGGCAGTCCTAAAAGGAGGGCAGCTAGGTGAGGGAAGACAAAGGACTTATTGGAAGATTTTAGTAGCAAGCAACATTAAGCTATAATGTGGGCTAATGTGTCTATCAGGGTGATTGGCATACCCCATAAGGGGACCTTTTTGGAAACGAGGCTGCCCAGACCAGCACTTGTGAGAATGCCCTACCATTTAATTTCTTTTTGAATTTCCTTAATTCCCTTCCTGAGGTTATACCAGGGGTCACCTAGTTTGGGATTTTGTCCACAATCAAAATCCATTTGCCAAAAACACTTCTTAATATATGTAGCTTATATTTTAGGGCCTGAGCTAGACACTGAGTTTCCCAGGAATAATGAAATAGGTTCTCATTCATGAGGGTCTTGAGTCTAATGGGGGAGATTTATGTATGTACAGATTAATTTTAGATTGTCCCACATCTATAAATGGATGACTGATTTTGTCCGTTTTGTTGAAAAAATCTTATAGTTAAAAATAAAAAGTAATATTTTAATTTTAGAACATTTAGAAAATACAGTACAGAAAAATAAAAAGTACATAGATAAAAATAGAAAGACCATCCCAAACTTATCATCTGGCGATAACCAGTTTTTTTAAAAAAATATATCTTTATTGATTTCAGAGAGAGGACAGGAGAGGGGGAGAGAGAGATAGAAATATCAATGATGAGAGAGTCATTGATCGAGCCCGCAACCCGGGCATGTGCCCTGACCGGGAATCGAACCCCGATCGCCTGGAACCTAGGTTGATGCTCAACCACTGAGCCACGCCCAGCCGGGCGATAACCATTGTTTTTTTAAAAAAAACCTGTTATTGATTTTTAGAGAGAAAGGGAAAGGGAGAGAGAGAGAAACATCGATGAGAGAGAGAGACATTGATGAGCTGCCTCCTGCACGCCCCTGCTGGGGATCGAGCCCACAACCCCTTGGTTCATGCGTCAATGCTCAACCACTGAGCCAGACCTGCCAGACATAACCACTTTTTTCTGAGATTTTTCTTCTTCTTGAAATCTATTTCATTTGAAAAAGAAAATACAAGCAATTGTCCCCAGAACAGTCTCAGTTTCCGTTTTAAGTGCCTTGCTATTGGTTGGCATATGTTTCCTGTAGTCTCTGTAGTATAGCCTACACTCTTAAAGAATCCTGTCACATTTTAACCTTTCCTTGTTTATTGGTGTTTGTTTTTTTCCCTATAGGGTCACTTTTGGCCACTTCAGGGCTGTTATCAAAACTCTCTCTTCTAATTGTTAGATATGTCACGATGGTACTCCATCCGTTAAAATGTGTCACAGTTTTGTGGTTCAGCTCATTCTTTATGGGACCCTCCTTACCTTCTACTGAACCAGCCCAGCCTCTCTGTTTAACACACATATGACATTTCTGTCCCTTTCAGCCACCCTCCAAATCCTTGCAGTTAAATTAGGGTGAACCTGTCTGGCTTGTTGGAGTATAGAAAACAACTTACATTCTCACAAAGACTTTTTTTTTTTTTTTTTAAAAAGAGTCTTTATTCTGAGACTTGATGTAAAATGGGCCAAAGGATATTGAATGAGATGTGGACCAGAATCATTGCATTCGAAGCAGGTTGGATGATGCTCCACTGTAGTTGGAAGCCTGATGTCTGACCTTGACCAAGTCTTTTAAATGGCTTATTGATTTTGATGTTGGAAGTAAAGCAGCATAAATATTTCACATTGTGAAAATAAATTTATGGGACTTTGAAGAAGCAAATGTCAATGTTTTGGGTTCTTTTGTATACACAGTAAAAAACAAACTTCAAAGATGTCACACACATGCTTTTTATATAACACCATGGAGAGGAAAAAGGGCTCCATATAAAACCATCTGAACTTTCAGGTAATTTTTCCCCCCTTCTTAATAAATGGATTAGTCAGAGGAACTCCATTTTAAAGTTTGAGAAACATCTTGAAAATTACAGAATGATGGTGGTGATGATGATGATAGTTAACATTTATTTAGCCCTAAGTGTCAGGAACTGTGCTCCATCTCATTGGATTATTTTAACTTCCCTAAAAGGTAGATCCTAATATGCCCATTTTATGAATGAAGTAGTGAGGTTAAGAAAACTGCTTGAGGTCTCAAAGCTAGGAAGTGGTTGGTTTGATCTAGGAGGTGGAACACAAGCCTTAACTGGAGCCTGTGTATTTTGCGTAGAGAAACTTGTGAATATTCTGTTAGGTTGGAGGAGCTTTTGTTGGGCAGCCACCTTTATTAACTTATGCAGTTGTGTTTTTTTTTTTACATTTACTTTGTACAACTCTCTTTCAAAAGGTCTGTGTTAGACTATTAGATACTTTTGAGAGTAGAATAATCTTTTATTTCTT